AGCAAGACAGTCCCTGCCTGACACACCACAAGCTTTATTTTGAGAGTTGGAAATTTACTCCTGACAGCAGAGTAGATCAAAATAAGAAATCTATCCAAGACACAGAGTAACTGGGCATAAAATTGTAAATAAACATTATTTTTTTATAATTAATCAAAAGTATATTTGAAATTATGTTTAAATATATCTTATTGGATCCGGGAAAGAATGCATGAGGTTTAGAGTGCAGTGTCCAAAAGATTTTGGTTTTATAGACATAGGTGGTATTAAATTTCAGAACTGTGGATTTTAGCTCCTTGTCCTTTTAAATTTCAGTAGTTGTGAAATATATTATGCGGACATTTTAACAGAAGGTGTAATACTTATGAAGGCACTTGGATAATTGCATACAGAATGAGCAATGATTGGGGAATGGAAGGGAAGCATTTGTTTGATTAAATAAACATTAGATGTTAAGATCATTTACCTGTTCTACAATACTCCTCCTCTTCAAAAACCATCTTCCATAAATTTACATTTTTAGCAAACCTTCTCCTATGTCTCTTTCATTTACATAAATAATATGTATTGACATTTTCTCAGGGCATACATAGGATGTTAACTTGCTTTAGAGGTTTTTATCCTCTGGTCTGTAATCTGAACTTTAATCACACACAGAAGGCTCTTGCTGGGTCTAGGAGGCTATTAACAGAGCAGGCAATAATACATTCCAAATTGAACAGAATTTACAATAAAGGGAGTTTGAACATTAGATCTCTCTTTACGGGAAGTGTTTATGAAGGCTGTGCAAGTCACATGCAGGGAGGTGTGACTAGGGCTGCATTAACAAAGTGATTTAACTCCTAAATGGCAGAGATGTGAGCAGTGAGACTGCAGGGGCATTATCTATACACAAAAACGGCTTCATTAAAGGGACACCGTAGGCACTGTATCTGCTTCATCTCATTAAACTGGTTATAGTGTCTGGAGTCTTCTGGTCCCATCATTTCTATCAGCATTAAACAGTTTTTAAAGTTTTAATGTTTTAATGCTAAACAAGAGTCCCCGGCAATCCATCCCCTCTGTGCTGCTTTGTCTAATAAGGAAGTATTAGCCTGAGCAGAAATGGGCAGCTGTGATTGGCTGAGAGTGTCAGCTGACTGCTTTTAGCCTGTCAGAGTTCCAACTGACGGTATGAGTGGGTATGACAACAAGGAAGTGTGTAATCTCTGCCTTAGCTAGACATACTGAAGGGGCCGGACTGTGGGTGGCCAGGGGCTCTTATTTTGTGGCATACTGCACGAATATGGTGCAACACTGAATGGAGGGACAGTGCCAGGGTACTCCAGGCACTATAACCAATTCAAAGAGATGAAATGCTTATAGTGACTACAGTGTCCCTTTAACCTCTTAAGGACACATGATTCCCTTTTATTCCAGAAGTTTGGTCCTTAAGGGGTTAAGTTAAAGCTACTTTGATACATGTAGAGTCCCTTTAACTGAAATCATCATCAACTCAGCTCTTTTTTAACCTCAGTGATTTTGGCATAAAACTTGCAATTCCTTTCTCAAATCTGCACATTTCCTAGTTTAGTGAGTAAACCCTGAAATTATGTCTCTTTACTTTACTCTATACTATACTTTTGTTGTAAAGCTAGGTATAAGAAACTGCTTTGAAAAACAAAACAAAAAAAAAAAAGAGTTTTGACTACATTTAACACTTTATGTGTAAATGCAATACTTTTCTATTCTACAGTATCACCCCTTGTTAATTATTGAGCTTTGTGTTAGAATAATTAAGTAGTGGAACGTCCTGAGTGACTTGTTGAGCCAATCCATTTTAGAACATATTGAATTCTTACATGAGGTCTGCCAACATCACTTCCTACCTCCAATACTACATAGTGCTTGTGTTGCAAGCTTAGCTCAATGAATAGAGTTTAGGTATGTATTTGCCATTGTATGCATGTTTATAAGTGTGTGCATGTGTGTATGTTTGGATGTATGTGTGAACTTTTTAAAATCTGTCTCAAAATCTAGCAGTACACCTTCCGTGTTCAGACTTTGGATCAGCCACTGTCGCATACACTGTGTGTGTCTTGCATAACCTGATGATAGTTGTGCTTCACAGCAACTACTCTTCTAAACTGCGTATATCTAAAAGATTGGCAATTTCAACAACTGTGGGACAAAATTCCCATTAAGATCAATAATATTCACATTTGCTAGAACTGTGAGTTCTACCCATGAACAAAATCCCCACTTGGCATGACTGACACAGTGGGTTACGAATGCAATAAAATTAGCCAGCTTACATCTGAGAATGCAGAACAACAAGCACGTGTGCAAACACACAAACATAAGGACTAATTGTGGGGACAAGTTCTAAAAATTGAGCATTCACTATAGAAGTCAATGGAATATTAACAGTTCATTATATTATATTTACATTATAAAGATTTTACTTACATAGAAACATTTACTGGTTCCCCGACGTGCAATAACTAGTTTCAGCTTTCTTTTCTATTTAATAAAAAGTAGATACTATGATGTGAATAGCAATTAAAAATGTACGTAGTACAAATTATTTTCAGTCAGTAAAATGTATTTCTCTTATGTTCATATACCTGTCATTGAAAGACCGATATGGGAAAAGTTTTATGGTTTCTTCACAGAATCTGTTATGAGGACAAAGTATAAATTTTTCTATATGTTTTCACTTTCATTATTCTCTGGGTGGCTGCAAGCATTCCAATATTGGTAATTGGCCTATTCGTGTTCAGCAAGCACAGAGCTCTACGCTAGCAGAATCATAGCATAGGAAATATGATGACACACGGCTGCTGTTTAATTTAATGCACAAATCTTTACACCTGCAATGTTTCTTGGACACTGTGCCATTCAACACACTGGGAACTGTCCATTTTTACTTTCTGTGAATTGTTGCAATGAAGGATACCTTATAACATTCTCTCCTAGTAGAATCATTTTATGGTGTTTTCTCCCATCAAATTCAAAGGCCAATATATGAAAAGCACCCTGTAGTGGCAGTAAACGGATGATAAGTGTCATCCGAGGCATTAAAGAATGATTGCCTGCATGCCATGTGGAATGTTCATATTTATTCCCTCTACCTGCACTTATCTTCTATGTCTAAACACATAACTAGCCCATTGAGCATCAATAATATATTGAACACTTAAGGAAATTATATGTTTCAAATAACAGGGAGAAGGGGGTTGTCAATCCAATTCCTTAACACCTTATTTTAATGATCAAATGTTTAGTTTAACCTCTCAGGGAAAGCAGCATTCTACATTGTCATATTAACCTGGTCTTTAATTATCCCATTTCAGAATGCAATGTCCTGCTCATGATACCAATCTGGTCTTTAATGATCCTATTCCATAATGCAATGTATGGCTCATCATACCATCTGGTCTTTAATGATCCCATTTCAGAATGCAAAGTCCTGCTCATGATACCAATCTGGTCTTTAATGATCCTATTCCATAATGCAAAGTATGGCTCATCATTCCATCTTGTCTTTAATGATCCCATTCCAGAATGCAATGTCCTGCTTATCATACCAATCTGGTCTTTAATGATCCTATTCCATAATGCAATGTATGGCTCATCATTCCATCTGGTCTTTAATGATCCCATTCCAGAATTCAATGTCCTGCTTATCATACCAAGCTGTTGTTTAATGATCCTATTCCATAATGCAATGTCTGCCTCATCATACCAATCTGGTCTTTAATGATCTCATTACAGAATGCAATGTCCAGCTTATTATACCAATCTGGTCTTTAATGATCCTATTCCAGAAAGCAGTGTCCTGCTCATCCTACCAATCAGGTCTTTAATGATCCAATTCTAGAATGCAATGTCCTGCTCATCATTTTAATCTGGTCTTTAATGATCCCATTGCAGAATACAATGTCATGCTTATCATACCAGTCTGGTTTTTAATGATCCAATTCCAGAATGCAATGTCCAGCTCATCATACCAATCCGGTCTTTAATGATCCAATTCTAGAATTCAATGTACTGCTTATCCTACCATTCTGGTCTTTAATGATCCCATTCTAGAATGCAATGTCCTACTCATCATACCAATCTGGTCTTAATGATCCCATTCTAGAACACAATGTTCTTCTCATCATACCAATCTGCTCTACAATGATCCCATTCTAGAATGCAATGTCCTGCTCATCATACCAATCTGGTCTAAAATGATCCCATTCTTGAATGCAACATCCTGCTAATCATACCAGTCTGTTTTTAAATGATCCAATTCCAAAATGCAATGTCCAGCTCATCATAGTAATCTCGTCTTTAATGATCCTATTCCAAAATGCAGTGTCCGGCTCATCCTACCAATCTGGTCTTTAATTATCCCATTTTAGAATGCAATGTGCTGCTCATTATAGTAATCTGGTCTTTAATGATCCTATCCCATAATGCAATGTCTGGCTCATCATACCAATCTGGTCATTAATGGTCCTATTCCAGAATGCAATGTCCTGCACATTTAATGATAGTAGCATTAAAGAGTTGCTGTTCTCAATACAAAAGAATTT